TATATATATATATATATATATATATATATATACATTGGCATTCAAAAAAATTCTCACTTTAAGGAAAAAATTTGTGAGCAAATAAATGTTTTATCGAAAAAGACGATGCAGTTCAGTGTGGAAAATGATACGTTTGTAAATTGAACGATATTTGTAGTAAATGGCAAAACTGCACTTCAGCACAAGCAATAAGTAATTAATTGCAAAAAATTTTACAGTGTTAATCATTATTACAAAAGGAATACAGGAGATGGTACAACACATAAATTTGTTTATTAACATAAAATTATGATATCATTGTAAATCACAATCTTTAAGATTAATATTACCGCCTTAAATACTTTATGAACAAACGACCGTAAGGAAATAGTAGTATTTTAAGAGATGAAGTATATAGTCGTTGAAAGATTACACGACTGCGCACAGTAAGCAATACAATTCACTACCACTGTAAGGAAATGATGAGTAATAACAAAGTGTAAAGTGTAAATCGTTTGATGGAAAGAAAATAACCTTCTACTTTATTTCTACTCATTCAAAAAGTAGAAATTGTTTCTTGAAGTCTTTGGGCGTTACTTTTACGTAAATGAATACTTGTTGGTAACAACTGAGTCAACAATGTTGCATAATGTTTCTGTTTTTAAATGATTATTAATTAACAACGGCCGCTGTTGTTTCTGTTGTTTTTCGCGGGTGGCGATGTGCTGTTTGTGTTGCGCGTGCGATTTTACGTTCTTGTGACGTGTGTAAGTAAAGCTCGGAATAGACATGTAGAAGGTATGTAATTTACTTTTTATCGTAGTCGTTTTTCTTCTTGCAAATAACATTGATAACTTGGTTTTTTGGAAAAAGTAATACGTTAAAAAAAATTCATGTTAGTTTCTTCTTTGTGTATTAATTTCACACTTCTACTTCTTACTATTCTATTTATTTCGTTAATTTATTTTTTGCTGATTAAATAGTCGAAAAACGATTAAAACTAAAACTTATTTTACTGATAAGTTGTTAATTTTATTGGAATAGTTTTTTCTTTAAAAAAATTCGTTAACTGTTATATGACACAGAAAATCTCCTTAATATTATAAAAGCATTTATTTAATGTGTTTGTTTGCAGTGGTCAGTCATTTTTCTTCCTGAAAATTAATAGAAAAATTTTGTTGGATTGATAATTCCAATGCAGAACCAAACCGATTTCATTTTTTGCGGCATAGCATCATTGCTTAACAACTTTTAAAAAAAGAATGCCCGATTATATTTAGTTATGGCATATAATATAGCTATTAGGATGGTTCATAAATCAGCTTGAGGATTCCAGCTTCGGAATTATCTTTGCAATATGTACTTTTCTGACTTTTACTTCAGATGGAAAAAAAGGAAGATGCAGAAATTAAAAAAAAGTTGGAGCAGACCCTTTCAATTTTCAAAAGGCTTTCCTTGAAGGCTAGTGATAGGAGAGACGATGAATATAATGGCTGTAGCAAAATTTCTCAGAAACTCTCACAAGCAAATGTAAAATATCAAAATGTGGAGCAGTCATCAACAGTATCGGGATATGCACGCGGTTTTGCCAACATGTAAGTTGTTTTAAAGTATTGTAGTTTTCATGTAAATAAAGCTACTGTAAACGCAGTTTCATTCAAATCGGGTGAGTAGTTAGCAATAAATCCGTATCATAATCTGTTGCTTTGGCGAGATAAAACTCACACCGCGCACGATTGGTTATTTTTGCTTTCGTAAACTCTAACATATTTATGTCACTGAGCAGTAACCTGTGAGACACTTGAAGATAATAATTTCTGAGTTCGATTTTTTGTAGAAGTTATTGTAGCGTATTTTCTTTCCTATGCTTGGCTTTCCCGTTTTGTCATCTCTTTATAGTATTGATGTGTCAGCTATAGCTTCTTTTTCACATCAGTCGTTGACTTAGTGGAATTCTGTGCAGCATATTCACTTTTTCGCTTGATTTACCGCCCCAAAATTAACGTTTCCAGAGATAACTTTTCGTTTCTATTTCGTTTGGTTTGCCCGTCTCTGGGACCTCTAGCATCAGCAATGAATACTTCTATTTAATCTCGAGATAAACTTTGGACTCCTGTAAGTATCATGGATATTGGTCATATGTTTCAGTAAAGTTTTAAAAGTGTTTTGCAAAATGTCTCTTTTGATTTTCTTGACTAGTGTCATTGTTTCAGACGTGCTCTATATAGGTATAAACCGTACTGGTCACCAATTATAAGAATAAGTGACGCATCAAATCGAAATTTTATCATCGAAAAGCTTGGCTGCATTAAGTTGAAAGGAGATATTCGAGACTTGCGAATTTTATTGGCTGAAAGCACCACAACTTTGAAAAGGTTCTATACTTTTTTCTTCTTATTCAACTTCGCAGTTTACCTGCCACTTTTTTTTTAAATTCAAAAATTCTATTGGCGAATAACTTGATAAAAGTGCTATATGATGTGGTAAAATAACATCTTGTCACAAGATGATATAATTTGGTGTACCGGTCTCATATGCTAGAAATATATTTTGCACTATGAATAAGTTCTGAATCAGTTGTAATCTAGAAAATTTTTGTTTTTCAACTCGAGAAAGTTGCTTAATTGTTATTTTCTACGAAATTAAGTCTTAATGCCTACTTTTTTCCGCTCAGTTTTTATACACCAGTGTTACATTTTTATCAGAAGTAACAATTCAAGTTGTTCATTGGAAGCACGTTGTTCATCATGGGATTTAGATGACGAAGGAGTGGATGGTGCTGTTGCTGAACTAGCTGAATATTTTGATCAGTTTGTTACCATTTCATTGAAAATGTCGGCTTTAGCTGAAAGTATGTATGCGTAAAATTAATTCATAAGTTTATTAACAGAGCTCAAATTATTCATACTTGGTAATATTTAAAATTGCAGCTGCTCTGTTGGCTTGCACACTTCTTTTAACTGTTTTGTATCACTAGTTATTTTATATAGCCACTGTTTGCTTCTCAGAAATTTTGCTAAATGTTTTTTTTCTTAATTTTTATAGAGTAAGTGTTTGAAAAAGTAAATTTCAATATTTACTTATGCTCAAAAAGGTGCTTTTCTTTTTTTAATCTGAAGATTTCGCTGTTTTTTCTCATTAGAACTACTCAACTTATTTTTCAGTTAGATTTGCAAACGTTGTACAAAACTTTCAACTTGTCGACGTGTCTTGTTATTTTTTGGGTATTTGTATATTTCAGTGGTGAGGAATTTCAAATGTATAAGTTTTTTTTAGATTTCAGTCTGTGCATCATAAGTGGAATATTTTTTATTTGATGTTTTGCACAGGCTTATTTAGTGCCGAGTTTCTAATTCACATCTTGTGATGTAAATTGCGAATAATTATTCTTCTTGCGTTCCTTCTCTACCTGTTGCTGCTGAATCAAATTTCTGGCATGTCTCAATGCTTTTTTGTGCATATGGAAGAAAATACGTCTCTTTTGAGAAACGGATCCACTGCTATGTTTATATCTTGAATGTTTTAATGAATTGTTTCATGCAGTAAATGAAGACTCTTGGTTCTCCGTTTGTTTCACCCATTATCATGACCTGGCCATTGATTGGCACAATACTTTCATGCTAAGCCAAATACTATGTCCGTACTCAATTCGGAAAGTGTAGTCCACATTCCTCGACAGAATGAAAGTGCAAACTATCTCATGTTATCTTTTGCAATATGCACCAACGCTACAAACGTTACATTCCTCATGTATGAATTGCATCTGCGGTACTCCTCGTGGATATACTTCTTTTAAAAGCATGACACTAGCGTGAAATCATAAAATTGAATGGAATTTGAAATCTAGATCATCTGTAGCTAGTAGAATTTTTTGATAATTCTCGTGATCAAATTTTAAAACAAACAGTAACAGAAACGTAACTTCGCACACAATTTTTTATGTATAAAAATTTATAGAAATACAATGTTGGGACACAAATTATCTCATATGTAAACAAGGAATAGTTCCTAGGCAATGCAAATAGGAATAAATGGAATTCACAGCAAAAAACAATTGAACAGAAGGCAAAATTGATGAGGAATATTTGTTTTTTCATTCCAAACAATTCTTTAAATGTCAGAAATATATTAGACTTTGATGTGTAGCTTGAGGACTGACGCTCGAAAGTATGCTAGTTTCGGTAAGAGTGCAGCAAGATGCTAGAAACATGTTTAGCACATAGAAAATTTTAACGTTTTCTAAAGCACTTCTAGGCAGAATACCATCAACTACCAACTACAATGCATTTAAAATTAAAAATAAAAGACAAAGCTACACGATCTTTACAATTCATTATTACATATTTCATATCATCATTACAGTGTTCCAGTGATTTAAAACCAGTACGGAAATGCGCAATATGTACAGAAAACAAATTTAGTGTTGACTACGATTCGATGACGCTGTTGATGAAGTACTGGAAACAGAAGAGAAGTATCTATTATAAACGATGTAAGGAAAATCTGGGTGACGTACAGATACTACTCGTGAACCGTCAGCAAGCCAATTTCGTGGTCTTAGTACACCACCACCATCTTCACTTAATCGTTCTTCCATCCATGCATGAAAACGGTCTTTCCTTCGTGCAGTGATCATTTTATGTTTCTGCAGAGGAAATGAAATAGTTCTAAAAGCCAAAGCTTTCCAACATTCTGTACACTTTTTAATGATTTTTTCTCTTTGCAAAAAAGTATCGGAAAACTTACATTTATTCCTCTCCGTGGAGCCCCAGTTCGTATTAAAATATCAGCAGAACCACTGGCCAACCGCATTTTATAATTACCAGCTGGTGCGAATTGCATATGAAGGTCCTCATTCACTGTGACACTAGACCACTGCTTTTCCAACCTCGACTCACAAATACCATCATCGTTCTTATATGCACCGTCATCATGCTTTCTGGAAAAACACAGGACACAAAATATGCAGTTAAACATTAACTGCAATTTTTCATGGATTCAACAACTGTTGATGGCTTGAATATTCATACCTCCATTTCTGTATTCCAGCTCTGATATTTTTCATAAGGAACAAAAGTGGTCTTTCACCAACAATTTCAACTATATGCTGCCGATCATCCAAATTTGAAGTTGATGACGACGGCTCATCAGCAATACTCTACAAACTTTCATCTCCAAAAATGCAAAAAAAAAAAAATTAACAGAAGTATTTGAGACTATCAAAAGATAAGAAACAGGAGACTTCACATATATCTTAAATAAAGCCGGTAGCATGCAAGCAACTATATCATAAGTGCTTAGTGATAAATAAAATTAGATAAAATAATGACGAAACTTTAACCTCTAGTTAAAAATCTAAATGAAAACTAGCCCAAGATGCGAAAATTTAACCTCCAGGTAATGATGTACATAACGGCTCCATTCCTGGTCACTATCTGCTTTATCTGCTTCTTCCGTAATATCACTATCAATTAATTCCATAGTCACGTTTCGAGTTTCATGCAGGAAAAATGTTTTGAAACAATTCTGATTAGCAAAAGCTTCTTGTGCGGCTCGTTCGTAAACATCGTCAATATTCTCTTCATTTCTGCCTCGCATATGTAAACAAACAGGGCGCTCAAAGCGATATTTCTTATATAAATTCATACTTGCAACATTTGCATCCTCAGTAGACATGTTTTGCAACTGTCGCGCAATAGTTATAATGATCTTGTCCATTGTGAATGTCAGATATGCAGCAGTTCCGAACAATTTCCTGAAACTTCAACTTTTGGTCACAGTTTGTCATGTAAAAACTATCTTTTCACCACTACAAGAAACTAAAATTAAAAACAGCTGTGATTTTGAGACAAATACTTATCACAAATCACATACCGCACGCTTTCTTCGAATGTGGCACTATCAATGAGACCATCGAGAAGATTCTTGATTTCAGTAATTAATGTCTTGTAATAATTGATCGGATTTTGTCTCGATGGTTTCAACAAAGACAAACCAAGCTTCGTGTCTCTCTCTATTGTTTTCAGTAAACTGTCATCAACACATCGATTTATGATTGATTCCCGTTCTCTGCATATGCGTTCTTCGATCTGCAAGGATTATTACGGCAAATAAATTTTCATCACAATTTTCTATATCATAAAATGTAGGCAATACTTTTCATATTCATGATACTCAAAAATCTTCAGTATAATCCATAATAATGTTTTCGATTTTTAAGAAAGAAATGTGTTCACCTCATGATTCTCAATTATTTCTCTATGTCTTTTTTTTAGATAAGCCAAACGGTCGCACATTAAATGATGGAGTCTAATAAATATACACCATGTATTAGCACCGTAGAAAAGGCGGTATGTAGGAGTTTCATTTTCATTAGAAAGCTGTACCTAAAAATATTTTTATATCATATAAAAATTGAAAGATTAAACGATAATTGTGCTCCCTTATTCCTGCACTTTCCAACAATTCTGTTGCTTACATTTACTGAATTCAAGTCAATTCGAAAAATTTCGCTTCTAACATGATTAAATGATAAATAAATAAATGAATATACACCATGTGTACTCCTAGAAATTATCAGCAATCACTTTTCTTTCATCTTGTGGCTACAATTCTTGACATTTGAAATCAATTTTCCGATCCTCAGAAAACTAAATAATTATTACATTCAAACTTACATTAGTTGACTGCGTAACTGACATTTTTCTTACTTCTCCATCACTCTCTAGTCCCAGCTGTCGTTCATGTTCTGTAGCTTTACTTCTCCCTACAAAATAAACAAATTTGGATAAAAGTTACCGCACCTGAAGAAATAAGCAAAATCAAAAGTAATGAGCTCGATGTCATTCTTTACTGAAAAATTCTTTTAAAGTGTTATAATATTAACTAAATATTTTTTTTAATAGCTAGCAATAATGATCGTGAAACTCTATAGTACATCAACTACTTCATACCATCAGCATTTTGATCTCCCAAATCTTCTTCGTCACTTAATTCCTGAGGTGGAACATTGAACAATTCTGGGAGGAATCGCTTCAAGTAACGCTTCGCAAGACTTTTTTCTTCTTTTTGGATATTTGCTTGTCTTTTAACATAATGTATTACTAAATCGTTAACGTCATACAAGACACTCATATCTTGAGGATATGAATAAATGCAATGAGGTCCATATTCTACTGCTTCACCTTCTTCATTACGTTCTGCTCGCTAAAAAAAAACAAAATAAGAAAATTCAAACTGGAATAGCATAGTCCAGCTAAGCCAATATAATCTGTTAACAACAAAATGATAACAATACTGAATATGAACATTTACCACATTGTAGACACCAACATAACACAAAAACGGTATATCTTACTTCATCGTATAAATTTTCGAATTCGCTGATAATTGCTTTTGCACGAAGTTTCAAATCATTTTGTTTGAAAACTGTTGCCTGATGATCAAGGCTCCTTATATAATGCTTTTCAGTTTCTTTACGCCATATACGATTACAGATTTCTTGATTTTTACGCCACTCCGAGTCTTTTTGCCGCATCCTTTCGATCAGCCGTGGCACCATAACTTGCGGGTTCTTCATCGCACCTTCTAACATCTTTATGGTATGATCTCTAGAAAAAACCGACTTCTAAAGAACATAAAATAAAATATACTTGTGATTTTTAAAGCGAGATTCCAGAAATTTGGATATTTACCCATAAATTCTTTGTAATGCTCGCAACATGATTGAATCAGAACTGCCTCCTAATGAAGGACCTAAACGAAAACTGCTTAATTCTTCTTTTTTCATGCGCGACATTTTCCGCTGAACCATTTCCAAAACCTCTAATGCTGACTTGTTGACTTCGATGACGATGTCCAGCTTTAAAAGTTCAGATTTGAAATCGATTTCATGCCATACCTTATAAGACAAACAATGTTTAACAAAGTTTACATAATAAAAATCAAAAAAACCTCATAACGTTCATCTTCTGTGTGAAATACAAATTCTTCGTATTGTGTTTTTTTCGAGTGAACAGCTGAGCTATCTTCTGACGACCAAGAAGGAAACGATACCCACAAATCATTCAGTACAGAGTCACAAAGTGGAGTTCGTCCTGAACAAAGTGGCTTTTTATAGGACTCCGGTAAAGAACGATAGCTG